TTTTTTTTTTTTGAAATTCCCATTGTTTCAAGGGAATCTTATAAAGATTTCATACATAGTGCTCATTATATATATATATTTGCAATATAAAGCATCTTTAAAACCTATAGGTTTTTCAGAGATACTGCGTCATTGATTTTAACGAGCCAAACTGATTATTTAACATTATGAGTGACTTAACAGAGCCAGACTTCTGCTTTCAAAAGTAAAGATCATACTTTCCAGCACTGACAGTTGTTACAGATAAGACATTACTGCTTTTTCATTTGCTGTCTTGGTTTTGCCTGACAAATTAGAAGAGTAGGTTGGCTCCTGAATATCAAGTTGGTTGCTTTTCTTTCATAGGCTGAAATATTTGGTAAAGTACTTCAGAGTGAGGAATATGAAGAAGTAGAGGACAAAACAGTTATGGCCATGGGCATCTTGCACACAATTGACACTATCCTGACAGTTGTGGAAGACCACAAGGAGGTGAGATTTTTTTATACATGTTTCGTCCTGCTACTCTGTCTTCCTTTCATTCATGATAAAAGGCAAGTTCCTTGTATGTGTTTCATCCCTTGAACCGACAAGAATATTTATTTACTGTAGGTAGGATGGTGAGTTAGTAACAAATAATATCTGACAAATTTGAATTCTAAGCTCAGTTTGCGTTTGTGATTTCTGAACCCTCACCTTTGATGGAAATTTCTCTCCTGGGGGTAAAATCCGTGACCATGATTCTGGTAAACTTTTCATTGGACAATTGCAGCAGACTTTTAAATAAAATTTTAGAGAGGAACATTATTGTATTAGGGTAATTTTGGGTAATGGTGACTTATATTTTGCTGTTTCCCCAGCAGTTTCTGGGATAGAACTGATAGCAGTGGATCTCCCAGTTGTGGTTCAATATAAATCACCTATTTCACCTGTTCAGAGAAGCTACTAGAGAAGGCACCCACCCTTTTTGAACTTGCTGCTTAAGAAAGCATTGGATTAGGATTGCTGCCTGGCTCCTAATGAGACTGATTCTTTCAGCCCGTACCACCGTGTTTGACGGAGGTAGTGAGGAATTTGGTGACTGACTAAGGAGTCAAAGTCAGTAACTTTGAGCTTAGCTGATATAAAATACTGAAGCTTGTTTTGCTTCCTTGATTTACAATGAGAAACTTTCATTGCAACTCTGAAATAAATCTTTTTATGAAGCTTATAATTTTAAGAATAGTTTGATTAAAATACAAATTATTTTCTCATGGCAGTTGTATTCTAATTTCTGCATGGACTCCCCTTGCTGAGCCTGCTCTGGGAAGCTCTCCATGGACCTAAGACGAAAACCTCTCTTCCTTCATTCCTTTTTTTACCCATCATTCTCCAAAGGTTTTGAATGGAGGTCTTGTCTCAAATGCTTTGAGTATAGTGTTATTGTTACCTTTGCCTTGTATCCAGGAAAGGCAGCAGGGAGTTTTCAATAGCATCTGTAGAATAAGAATTAACTAAGAAATATTAAAATGTTGTGACAATCTCTGAAGTAATACTGCTTATTGAATACTTGAGTACTTACTTTAGCAAGACCTTATTTCCTAATGTTTTTGTGATTACTACAGCATCATTTAGAGAGTGCTAGAGTTTTGTTTTGAGGAATTTCTCACTTAGACAGAGTTAATAAAATATATTGACCAAATTACTCTTTCTAGATTTTTTACTAAACTGCCTTATATTTTTATTTCAGATAACTCAACAGCTGGAGAGCATTTGTTTGCAGATCATTGGCCTTGTTTTGCAGAAACACGTTATAGGTATCTTCTAGAACCAATTTTTAGAAAAATTTTAGACATCCTTGCACAGAAAATATATCATCTATTGCAAACTGTCCTGTTGTCTTGTCCAGAAGCAATTTCATCTCTGCTTTTTTTTTTTTTTCAATTTCTTTACAAGAAAAAAAAATAATTTTCAGTTATGGTTTGTTTCTCCTGACCTCCTATTTCACACTAGTAAGGTCAGTTCTATCTACTGGAGGTCAGATCTAAAGTAGAAGATGCAGCTCTAATTATAATTTTGGCTAATTCTGTTAAAAGGACAAAGTCTACAATCAAATTGCTATTTTATGGTTATGCTCCACAATTCTATTGCTGTTTTATCAGTTTCCTGTATTAAAGAGCTGCACACTTTGTGATAAGGCCTTTAGGAAAAAAAGTTGAGATAATACAAGTATTGTGCAAGAAATGTTTAAAAAGTAGCATCTTTAGTGTGGTGGTAATATAGTTTTCCATTTATAATAAAAAACAGTGTGTAACTTTGCAGTTATAGCCAACATAAGGCCTCTCTAAAAGAATATTTTCCGATTTATATTAATTTTCTACATATTGATTTAGCTATGAAATGTTGGCTTCTGCTTGGTATATGACTGAGGCTTTGCATTTGAGATTCTATGGTGTTTGTGAGTAAAATTTCTCCTTTATAGTGCCCTACTTCAAATTGTTTCCCCTCTCCAGAGTTTTATGAAGAAATTCTCTCCTTGGCATACAGCTTGACGTGCCAGATGATTTCACCCCAAATGTGGCAGCTCTTAGGTGTTTTATATGAGGTTTTCCAGCAGGATTGCTTTGAATATTTTGCAGGTATGACTACTACTACTCTCTTGCTGTTTCACCAATTGGGGAATTCATCTCCAAATCCCACCTTCTAAGGGTCACTTGCATCTAATGTTCTGGTTTGCAGTGATCATGCCCTGACCATCTGCTTAGTGTGGGAGTATAACAAGAGCATATTTAGCTGGGAGAAGCTTGTTCAAATCTGTCAGTTTGCTCAGTTACTGTAGAAGGTCCTGAACTCAAAGAAAACTAGTATATACAAAGTTATTATAAAACTGCAAATTCACTAATTAAATGTAGGCCTATTGTGTTTCTTATTTTGAAAAAGCATCTTGCAGAGAGCACCTTAAAAAGAGTTTTGGTAGCACAGACTTGCAAAGGTTGAATTCCCAACCATGTCCAGGAATCTGAGCTAATGAATTATAGTATGGGACTAGGGCCTCATTGGCTAGCAGTTTTCAGGATTAGCTTATAATATTTTCTTTTTTTGTTCTCCTTCCTGCCCAGATATGATGCCTCTGTTGCATAATTATGTCACCATTGACACAGATACTTTACTGTCTAACCCAAAGAATTTAGAAATCATTTACACTATGTGTAAAAAGGTAAGTCTTCTGGTTGTTACTGCTATGCTTATTAGTGGTACTTAACAGTCATGCAGGATGATAGAGCGACCTGAATATACTGTCAGCTGGTGGCTGATCATATCAGAACAAAATGAAGTTTTGTCTCAACTGAATTTCAAGTAGACTGAGCACTTTCACACTTCAAGTGACATACTTTTATAGGAATTATATGCATAAACATTTGTGGAAGAAAGTGGCAGTGCTGTTGCAAATGTTGACTCTCTTCTCCAAGCAGCTAATTCAGTAAACAGAGGAATTCAGGAGGCCTGATTACCTTGGATTCTGTACCTCTAATTGCTCACTAAGGTGCAAACTCACCTCAAGTTCTTCCTACATTTATAATGTTTCTCTTCTATACTTTGCTCTCTCATGTGTAATAAAGTATGAGACCACACTACAACTTTTCTCTGATTTGGGAAGTTATGGAGTCTTCTGCATCTAGATACCTGCGTAATTTCAAAAACTTTATGAGGATTTAATGTGTTTGAGAATTCTGCTCCTTTGTCAGGTTTGGTTGACATTGGCCATGGGGTTGAAATGAACAGAGAAGCAGCATTCAGTTTCACACATTGCACATGTACATGGAGTGATTGCATGCCTCTCGTTTTTAATCAGAAATTAGCCTAGAGACAGCACTTCTCTTTGCCAGACTGTTAATCTGCCAGTGTCTGTTAGAACTGAAGTCGCAAAATGAAAACAGAATGTAGTAAATATTAACCTTTTTTTAGGTGACATTTCTTTAAAAATAAAAAAGGTGATAAAGGGCATTTAAAAGATACTAACATTTCTAAAAAGACATAGATATTTCTTCTGAATTTTTAAGTTCACCTTTAACCATCTCTTCTTGTTTGTGTGCTGTAGGGATGATTCCCTATCTTTTTAAATTCGTCCCAAAATATATTGTGGATGGATATATAGATGCCAGATAGAGTTTTCAGTATGTATGTATGGAGGTAAAGGAGCACTTTCTTTCAAAGCTGATTTTGATAAATACTGATAAACTGCTTTCATTTGGTTTATAGGTATTGACAGGAGATGCAGGAGAAGATGCAGAGTGCCATGCTGCCAAACTCCTGGAAGTGATTGTTCTTCAGTGCAAAGGACGGGGTATTGACCAGGTGATAATCATTAAGCAAGTTTCCTTTTTTGCTGGTTTGTAGTGATATAGATATGATTCCTGGGCAAAGCAGTTGAAATTAGAGAATTTGAGGGAGTGTAGAAATATGGAAAAAATGCAGCTAGAAAGATGTGAACCAAGAAGAGATTTTTTATTTTTTTGAGCTTAGTGGGTATGACTGGAATGCAAAGATATATTATGGAGTGCAGGCTTGTCTTTTCCTGCTTCCTTGTAAGAAGATTTTCCCTCTTATGCAAAGCAAACATTAAAACTGTTGTCTGTTGTTGTTGAGAAATCAATTGTACACATCAAATTACAGAGATTGTTTCTCCAAGAAATATGAACTTGATCATTTTGAATATTTTGAATTCCCCAGTACACTTGGAAATGAATAACTTCCTATGTAGAGGGTGGTTAGATTGTGATTGCTGGGAGAACCATAATCACAGTTTTGTGGAGTTGCTTAGAACAGACTTTAGATGGTGTATTCTTTATTAAGGCTAAATTCAGCTCATATTCTAGAAAACAGTCTAAATTAACGTATCACATCTATAAGCATGAAATCCAAGGCTTAAAACATTGAAATGAATAGGAAATTAATAGAATGCGTTCTTAGAGTATGCCTGAACTTCATCTAACTCTAGTTAAGTGTATTTTATTTTTTTCTATAATTTAGCAGGATATATAATCTGAAAAAAAGTCTTTTTTTTTTCTTGTTACCTTCTCCTTCACAATTATATGCCCAGTGTATCCCACTCTTCGTGGAGGCCGTTCTGGAACGGTTAACAAGAGGAGTTAAGACAAGCGAGCTTCGCACCATGTGTCTTCAGGTTGCCATAGCTGCACTTTACTACAATCCTGACCTACTTCTACACACCTTGGAGAACATCAGATTTCCACACAACCCTGAGCCCATCACTGCACAGTTCATAAACCAGTGGATGAATGACACAGACTGTTTTCTTGGGCAAGTATTGTGGTTTTATTTTTCAAAGTCCGTGTTTTTGATTTTTTTGTTCACTTCTGGCTTGTATTCCTAGTTATCCTGATGCAAGAGTTCTCATTTCTAGGTTAGTCTAAATACCAGTACCTGCCCTAGCAAGGTCTAACTGCTGTGATGCAGCTAAAGATAACCCATGTGTATTGAGTTTTCCTTGTTTGTTGAGTTATACACTGAATTTCCTGTGCTGCAAGGAAGCACATGAGAGCACAATGCATACTGTACATTAGGATTCTTAGTTCTTTGTAATTTCTTTAGAAGTTAGAAATTTCTAAATTGACTAAATTTCTTGGTTCATTTTTTAGTTATGAACTAACTGCTTCTCCAAGAGATCATCCAGCATGAGAGTAGTATTCAGAGCTGACCAGCATGATTTCAGGGAAACGTTAACCTTTTTTTCTCAACTATTGTGTATACGTATTTTGTGTTTTGTATTTTCTGAAGTATTTTTAACTGCTCCGTTTAATGTTAAAAGTATTTTTCCCTCCGTGAAAAGCAAAACCCACGCTTTGGCTTTAATCTCTGCCAGTTGTTCATGTCAGTTTTTGCGTATTTATCCTTCTGCCATTGATGTATTGACTGCTTTGCACAGTCCTCAACACGAAGTGCTCTCAGCCCAACCCCGCATTTGTGCCTGCCCTGAGTGAGCATGTGCTTAGGCAGCAACCGACCATTTGTACAGTGGAGGAAGGGGAGTGGGGCTGTCACGAGCTTGGCGCCGTGCGGGCCTGGGGGCCAGTTCTCAGCTGTTGGTGCTTGCCCCTCAGCTGGGATGACAGGCCTGGCTGGGAGAGCTGCAAAGCCACTTCCAGGCAAGGCAGAGAGTCAGGTGTAGCTGACTCCTTTTCCTGCTGTGAGCTACGGAGACATGACATCTGGCTGCAGATGTGTGCACATGCCTTCTCTGTGCAGAGTATGTGCCAACATAACTCGGTGAAGTGTCTGGTTTAGGAGTCATGCCATGCATGAGCACAGGGCCCAAAGAGGCAGCTCCTGACCCGAGGCTGCACACCTTAGCCTTTAGCTTGTCCTTGTCCGTCCTTTTCACTGCCGCAGTACCATTTCTCTGAGTTCTGAACAAGTCAAACAGGCCCTCATGGGCCTCTTGTAAGGTGGTTTTGCCACTCCTCAGTCATTCTGATAGCTTTTTCTCTGTACCCCTTCTTATTCGAGTTGATCTTTCCTGAGCAGAATTACACACTGTCTTGGTAGAGATGCATTAGTGCCTCTTGGTTTTAGGTTGTGTGGTACATGGTAGTATTACTTTGTTTCTTTAAAATTCTAACGTATCAGTGACTCCCAGTTAATCAGTGACCAACTAGTAGACTTGGATTTTGCTCTCAGCGTGTCCTTTGTAATGTTTAAAAAATGTGTACCAAATGTACTGTGTAAAAGTGCATTTTCTTCCCTTCCCTCTGCTAAGTAAGTTAAGATAAAGGGAAAAGTAGTGTGCAGACTTGCAGTAGAAATTATCTTATTAGCAATAGGATCACTTGAAGGTAGAACAAAATTACTGCCTTGGTGTGTGTAGGCTCTGTGACAGGTCCCCATGCGTGTTTGAATTTGAAGGTATTACCATGACATTCTTTGTTTGAACTAAATGTACTAAAATTGTTAAAAAGCGGGAGGAAAAAATCCTGTCTTTCACTATAACATAAATGGACAGTTCATATTATCACCAGCATTTTTTTCCACTTCTATCTGCTGTGCATAGGAAATGTAGATCCTTATATCTTAACATAAATGCATCTGTTGTTATTTAGAAGGATGACCCTTAGTTCTTTTAAAGCATCAGTGCCTGAAAAGTGGGACCCTTACTTCTGCCTCTTCCACACTTTGTGGTACTATCACCATTAACTTTCAAAATATTTTTGCATCTAGTGGCTTTAGAAACGGGCATGACTTTTTAGCATAAGGTTTTCTGTGTACAAATTTTGTGTGGCTAAAGCAAAGTTCTTGAGTTTAGGTCTTTGTGCTGTCACTTTTCTACTGAATGTGAATGCTTAAAGCATACAGGGACAATATGAAAGAACAAATTCCCTATAGGTGGTAAACTTGTCATTCCTTTTTAAAAGGATTCTGAAAATGAAAGAGATTGAAAGCCATAAAAAGTTCATCCTGGAACATTGACTGAGAAGCTAGTCAAATCCTGAGGGGAAAATTGTTGCAGACTTGAATAGACTTCAGCCTTACGTACTCCCATGAGCTGCAGCCTAACTTTCAGTTCTTCTTGTGTTGCTTTTGGAAAAAGCATCACTTTCTACAACTGCTGTTCAACTAAATCCTTCTTCGGAGCTGAGACAAAAGTTGACAAGTCTATGAAAAGGAAATGCAGTGATCAGCATGCCACATTTTGCTCAGACTGCCAGCTGAATGGTAGCCAAAGATTAAAATTTCTCTCTTTGATGTGCTGCTGCCAGCAGTGAAATAAATGTCTGTGATACTGCCTAAATCCAAACATCACTGCCCATTCAGAGCCATCTGCTCAGTGTGCAGCTTTGAGGTGCAGGGCTTTTGCCATAGTACTGCTTATCGGGAACTGTGATGTGATGTAACTGACTGTCTCCGGTTCCCTCAGAAGGAAAAGACTCCTTCTAGAAACCCATTTCATTTTAAAGTTGTCATGTGAACAGCAACCAAATAGTGCGAGGCCCAAATGAGCTGGAGGAGACCGAGCTGAAAAAGAAATCTGCCTTCCCAATAGCCTTTCTTGGGCCCTCTGCTGCAGAGCTCCTATTTGCATCGGTGCTAACAGGCACCCTGCTTTGAGCCATTGTTTGTCTCTCCAACCACCAGGCATGGCTGCCTTATTTTGAAGTTAGGTTTTTTTACAGAAAGAGATGGTTCTAAGCTGAAATTCAGGGCAGTTGACACAGTTGCAGGTCCTAGAGAAATTGGAGAAGAGCCAAGTAAATCCACCTCCAACTTTATGGAGTAGGCGAATCTTAATGCGATGTCTTTGTCAGCCATGCAGGCCGCCTGTGACTTACCAGTAAGAGAAGCTCTTTAATATACTTTATCCATATGAATCTTGTGTCATTTTCTCCTTCTTCTACTTCTGTGAAGTCCTAGTATCCACAGCTCCTGTCCTGACAGAGGAACTGAGAGTTGACAGTCCTGTCTGTTGGTCTGAACGTTCTCATGTTGGAGCTAACAGGCATATTTCCATATTTCTTTAGCAGAACTTCTGCACGCATGAGATGTGGATAATGCATGTAATAATAATAAAGTCATTTCAGTAAGATAAGCATCTATTCTTCCATGTTTTTCAAAACATGGAAACTATTTAAAAATGTTTCGAAATTTGGAATGTTAGAAATAAACCAGGCAAGAACTACTCAGAACTCATGAAAAGACTGTGCAGAAATCCAGTGTGTCATCATGGACGTTACACATGTGCAGATGTTTCTGTATGTCCAAGCACACTGTACTTATCTCTAACTCTCCTTTCTACACCTATTTCAAATTGAATAAGGGCAAATAAGGGACTGGAAAGCCCCTCGTAAAGACATTTACTCCTCATTTTGCTTTCCACCTTTTCCTTGACAGTCTGAATTGTGGGCAGAACTTGTGCATGATTTATTCTATGTTAGAAATTATTCTGTAAAAACTAGGGCGAGAGGAAAACGTAAATTTTGTTTTGAACAAAAAAGAAAAAAGAAAAAAAAACACTGAGTAAGAAGATTTACTTGATAGGAGTTTAAGTAGTTGGAAATCCTACCCTTCTTTGGAGTTGGGTATAAAATCCCAAACTTATACAAGAAAGCAAGACTGGTTCCAAGTTTGTAACTTGAAGGAAATGGCTAATTATTTGCAGTTTGTCTAGGAAGTGCACTGGTGTAATAGAAAGAAACTTGATCCTCACATAAACGGAGCACAGCTTACCAGTAAAGGCAAGGCTTAGTGATTTCCCTTTTGAAATACTTTCAACTCAGTTTCAAATACAAAAGATTCTTGGATCTTTTCCTCTGGTATTGAAACACGCGTATTAGGTCCAAAAGGTCCTGTGAACTATGAGGACCACACGCAGCCTGTTAGAAATGAGCTTGCCTGGTAGCTGTGCATTGCCTGGCCATATGAGCCTCAGCGTTTGCGTGTTCAGCACTGCAGGTTTAATGTGCCACTGAGGGATCAGGCAGAGTCCACGATTGCTGGGGAGGACTATGCCACGTTGCTGGCTGGGTGGGTAAGTAGGGATCCTGAAAGCCAAGCTCTGAAGGGAATTGTATTGAGGCTCCTTCATGCAGACAGAAGGGTGCTGAAATGGTGCTATTTGACAGCAGGGGAATGGAAGGATTGAAGGCATCATTTGCAATTACATGATTTTTTTTCTTTTGCTTGTTGTCCCTTTGCTGGTACATGATACAGCTGAACTGCTGCCAAGGTGGATGCTTGTCCTGCTGCTTTCCTGTGCTGACAGGTGGAAGAAACGAGTCTCCCCCTGGCTCAGGTTCACTGAAGATGGCTTGTGGCCTCGATTTCCGTGGTCCTGCTGGGCCTTCTGATAATGCACATACTCCAAAGGCATGTCTGCATTCTTGCAACTTCTCTGTTTAGGTGCTTGAAAATGGAGCCTGACAAATATGCTGTGTTTGTTGGCCATTTGAGCTGATTCCTAGTGATGACCCTTCCAACAGCGGTGCCCGAGTCTTCTGCTTTCATTTGCTATCCTTTAATATGAAGTTAAACCTCTAATTACTACCATTTCCCGACTATTTACCGTATTGCATTTAGGAATTGGCATTATATGCCTATAGGTTATTCAAATGTATTATAAAAGGTAGTGCCAAGTGACAGGAACTACTCTCATGCTTCATTATACATTTGGGGCTTGAAGAAATTTCATGGCTTCCCAGTGTGAAAATTCAGGATGGAAATCTTATGCATGGATCACAGAGCTTTGGTAAGACTCACATAAAGCCGCTGGGCAGAGAGAGGAGGTAGAGCAAGTTCTTACAGTCCTTACAGTAGGGTGGGATGCTCCAGAAATGTTATTTTCTGTTCATAGGTAGCATCACCTTTAGGAAGATTTTTTATCTTCCCAGTG